TTGCATAAAGGCAGAATATTCCTTATATAGACAGGAATTTTTCAGAAGTCGACGCTCTAAAGATAAAAAGTTTCGCATAGCAAGACTTCTACTATTGGGAAAAACTGGTTCGACAGTGCGAAAGGGCAATGAAACGACAAATCGGCCAGTTTCATCCCTAGAGGTAGTTTTCAAGAATATGGATTCACAAAGCTCATCCTCTGGAGCCAAAGTTTTGACAGAAGGCACCTCTTCAACTTCCCAAAAGCGGTGTATCATCTTCTCAAGCGACGGTGAATCGGTGCATAGAAAAGTTTTGGAAGTAAAAGGTTGATCCGTTGAGCTGCAGGTTCTTCCCATGATCACAAACCCAAAAATGGTGTTTATGGCAACTGGGTCATTGAGGTCTCCCATCAAACGACCGTTCTGGAGAATATGAGGAAACAAGTCAGCCCCTAGCAGAAGATCAATTGGTCCTGGCTGATTAAAACCAGGATCAGCAAGGTTGCAGTTGGCAATATGTGACCAAGAAGAAGTAGGGATAGAAAAGGAAGGCAAATTTCCACATATTTTAGGAATTACGACTGCTTCAAAATCAAACACAGGAGAAATCTTGTTCCAAGGACGAAGTTGAGTGCTGACGCCTGAAGAACTGTTGAGAGTTTCAATTTGTCCTAGACTTTGGACGGAAAAATTTAAATTATAGGATCGCAAGGCTAGACGTTTGACACAGGATTGAGAAATAAAATGGGATTGAGAGCCTGAGTCTAGTAAAATTTTAATTTTTTGAAAATTTCCATGGCCATCCATGATCTCGGCGACCGCAGTGGAAAGCAATACGCTTGATTGCTGCGAATTAGTCTGGGACGAAAATGCATTGCTGACTTCAGCAGTACTATTGGGTGATTGTTGGTCAGTGTTACTTGCCTGCTTTTCAAAATGCAACAAAGTGTGATGTCTTTGTTTACATTTATGACAACAATATGTAGATTGACATTTTTTTGCGGTGTGAGCACGACTTAGACAATTTATGCAGAGAAAATTTGTTTTTATCAACTGATAACGCTCTGGAGGAGATTTTGACAAAAGGTCGGGGCATTTGTAAACCAGATGATTACTTTTGCATAAACAACATAAGTCTTGACTTGAATTGGTTGGCAAATTGCTACTATTTAAAAAAGCAGATGACTTGATCAAGTTAGGAGTTTTAAAAATTTTCTTTTCTTTTCTGGCTACTGACACATTTTCTAAGGCAGCGCAATGATTATTTAAGTAGCCCATTAACACAGAAAATTTTGGAAACTTTGTAGGGTCATGCTCCAACTCAAACTTGTTTGCTACTGAAACATCAATACGCTTGAGCAGCATTTGAACTAGGATAAAATCCCATTGGTTAGTCGGCAAACTGAAGTTCTTTAATGCAGCGATATTATCTGCAAAAACGTCAAGCAGACTACGCAAATCCTGCGGATTATCATTAAATAATTTAGGACTGTTTTCAATAGCAGCCCAGTGATTGGCAGCAATAACTCTAGGTTTAAGATATCTTTTTATGAGTGTTTCGTATGCAATTAAATAGTTGTCAGCGGTTTGAGGTAGTTTCTGAACTAACGAGAGAGGTTGACCTGTTAGAGTACTAACCAAAAAATGAAACTTCTCTGCGTCAGATAGGGTGACACTATTATGAATTACGGAATTGAATATGTCCTTATAGGACTGAAATTTGGAAATATCTCCTGAAAAAGAAGGCAAGTTTATTTTGGGAACTATGGCGTTCACATGCGCCGATGCGCCAGGCGCTATGATACTAGGGGTCGTTGCAAACAAATTATAATAAATTGCTTTTGTTGGGAAAAATTGATTATCAAAACCAACTCTTACTTGGTCCTCAGTTTCAAAATCCTCATCAGGGATTAAAGTGATCACAACATTATGTTGTTTACCAAACTCAAGTTGTATCGTGTCAATTTGCTCATATTGCATTTTAAACAGAATATGTAGAGATGAATCATTTTCAGCGCTTTTGGCTATATTAAACAGTTCCGTCATGCGATTGAATTCGGTTTGACGCAATGATTTCGCCCTTCTCAGCTTATCAGTCATTTTTTAAAAATAAAATTAACTAAATAAATGCAGAGAAAAATCGAGTGAATAAGCTTAAAAATGATAGAACAATTTCAATGTCCCTTGTATTCAAAAGGAACCAAGTAATAAATTGCGAGGTATATATATAAACTATTTATAAACGATTTATAAACCATAAACCACCTTGCTGAAGCTTGATAAAAAAGTGGTTTGTTTATATTTCGCCCAACATGAATTACTAAATGTAGTTAAATTGCCAAGAATGTGTGATTTTATATTTGAAGGTCAAGAAAATGAATCGATATTTGAATTTAAATAAAATAAATATCTAAACTGAAGTTAAATAACTATTGTAAAAAAACTGTAAAACTGAATTTGAAGTTCATGCGGTTCGATTTAGGACCAAAAATGTCGTGTTTGAACCAGGTTTCGGAATGCGGAGTAAAATTTCAATATTTAAATAATAATTGACTTCCAAAATCTAGTCTATAGCTGAGCATCAGCTGTGAGAAAAGTGGACTGTATTTTGCGGTTTCAAAATTACGGGTACAATTGAGATCTTACCTAATCCAAATCCAGTTACAGCTACGAGTTGCGGAGTTGCGGTTGAACTTGATCGATCACGGTTCGCGAATATCACGGCCGGCCGGCAAGTTATTTGCGGTATGGTTGAGTGCGAGTAAAAATTGGTCGAGAACGGAGGGCTTCTAATCGCGACCATTCCCAAAAAAAGCACTGGTTTTTAATTTCCGACGCGTCACGTCGAATTGTCGTATGATTCTTCCACGCATATATGAGGGCAATGCGTTAAGTAGGTAAAGACCTCAAATATTCAAGAACGCGAAAATAATCTGAAGGGTGAATCGTGGATTAAAAGTTTACTCCAAATTTAAAGTATGTACTTCAATAAATAATTGGCAAAATAAACAAAACCAAAATAATTCAATGAAGGACAATCTTAACAATTTAATACAAATAACTTAAAACTATTGAGTGGACAAAACAATTATACAATGTTGCTATATTTCGGAAATTATTCAACAGTACCTACTGCAATAAACTATACTTGCAGTAAACAAAGAAGGCATTGAATTATAAAGTCTAAAATAAAGGTTACTAATTAAGAATAAATAAATAAACATTTTGGAAACTTCAACTTCAGGCAAACTATAATAGTTATTTATGTATCAAGGGTACTAAGTAGATGATTATACCCCGAGGGCGACAGTCTTACAAAGCCGAGGGCCTCTGGCCCGAGGGTTCGTAAGTCGCCTGAGGGTATATATATCTATTAGTACCCGTGGTGCATACAAACTTTTATGTCATACCAGTTGGTTGTGAATAATAAATACCTGGGAAAAAAGTATCACTTCGCAAATTGTCATCAGTGTGCAAACATCATCATTTTTTGACAAAAATAATATGTTTATAAGCGTAAATTTATATTTTAATAAAGAATAAGTTAATTGAAAGCTGTTTTTTGCGTCTTTATGCCCGCGCGGGCCATAATGTGTACTTTATGCCCGCACGGGCATAAAGTAATGAATTATGTAGATGGTATCTAAGGTATAAAAATACAATAATGTATTGGTATGACATAATAGTTATTTATGTATCAAGGGTACTAAATAGAGGATTATGCCCTGAGGGCGACAGTCTTACAAAGCCGAGGGCCTCTGTCCCGAGGGTTCGTAAGTCGCCCGAGGGTATATATCTATTAGTACCCGTGGTGCATACAAACTTTTATGTCATACCAGTTGGTTTTGAATAATAAATATATATTTTTGTTAATAAAGAATAAGTTAATCGAAAACTGTTTTTTGCGTCTTATTGCCGCGCGGGCCAGAATGTTTACTTTATGCCCGCGCGGGCCATAATGTGCACTTTATGCCCGCACGGGCATAAAGTAATGAATTATGTAGATGGTATCTAAGGTATAAAAACACAATAATGTACTGGTATGACATAAAATTAATTAAATTAAATTCTCTATGTGCCCGCCATTTTCAACAATACAGATATAGTCCAACACATACCATTTTAAAGTCACGTGATTTTTCTCTATCCTTGTTGAATAAATCTCAAACAGCGGTGATAGTAAAATTGACAAAAAAATTTCTGTCTAATTATTGTTCATAAAATTCTTACCTGAAATAGAATCCGTCACTGTCATCAATTAGTTTGTCAAAGTTATTTTAGAAAATGATACAACGAACAAACACAGCTAATAATTTTGACTATATTAACCTTTTTCCAACTCAAAAAGATGCAAATAGAAAACGGGTACCCAATTCAAGTTCAGCAGTGGCGGATTTACAATTTATGGGGCCCTACGCTACATAATTTTTGGGGCCCCTACCCCCTATTTTTTCAATACAAAGGACAAAATAAAACAAAGATTTTCATTTTAGAATTTATTGATAAATTAAAACAAAATCAGAACGAAGTTCTCTAAAAGTACAACAGAAAAAATTCATAAAAGTGAAAAAACGAAAAACTAAAAACAAAATCAGAACAAATTCTAAAAGTACAACAGAAAAAATTCATAACAATAAAAAAACTAGAAACTAGGTAGTAGTAGAGATATAAAATATGAACATAAAGGAAACAACCAAAACTCAGGAAAACAAATCTTTTTTTCTAATTTTATCTGCAAATTCCCTTATCGCATCATTGTAATTCAAACTAGCAGTAAAATCACTTTCAATTGAAAGTATTCCCAAAAAATGTAATCTTTTTTCTGTCATAACAGTTCTATAGTTCTATATTTATTTTTTATTATTGTTAATTTGGAAAAGGAACGCTCCGCTTCGCAACTAATTACGAGTAGCGTTAGAAATATCTTTAGGGCGGTGTATAAATTGGGAAATCTATCTATCATTTCCTTACTATAGATGATGTTCAACATTGTTGAGCAACTCGTGTTTGTTTCAGGGTTAGATATTATATTGTTTGAACTGCAAGGCTTTGCTAATGAGTTCTTCTTCAAGATCTTCACTGTAATATTCTATGAGTATTTTAAAGCTCTCCGCATCAATATCGTCATGTGAGATATCCCCTATATCAAATAAACATTTAAATTTGACTGTTAAATCTTGATAGACAGAACTTCGGCGATGCAAGTCGCCTATCAAAAAATCTAACAGTCTGTTGATAATCTCAACTCTAAATTTTGCTTTTCCAGTAAACATAGGCATCTCAGTTTCCTTATTAGCCAGCAATATTTTTCTTTTGCGCTTACTGGATTCAGCAAATTCTTTTTCAATATCTTCGCTTAGTTCTTTAGCATTTGCTTCCAGTTTATCGGTTTCTGATTCAGATTTTTTTCTGGTGTCTTGGAATTTTTTTTTCAAAGAATCCAATAAACGGCCTCCTTCTTGTATATCCAAACCAGACGATTGCAATTTAGTAGAAACCTTATTGAAGCGCTCTAGAACTTGTTCCCAAATTAATTTAGCATAGCAAATTTTAGTTTAATCAACTTTTTGTATAAGTTTTTGGCTTCGTTTCTGCAATCAGTTTTTTCTGTTTCATTCATGTAAATATGTTTTAAAGTTTTCAAAATATCATCGTATCCCATTTTAAGTGCTTAAACAGCTTCATAATGAGCACACCATCTAGTTACACTTAAAGATTCAAGAGAGTATTGAAGTTTGGCGATAGTTGATACAATATTCCATCTATGGGGTGACGCGGAGAAAAAAACATAAAGGCACTGGATAATACCAAAATAATCTACGACTTCTGGAATCAATTTCACAGCTTCGGCCCCAACCAGGTTCAATGAATGTGCCGAACAAGGTATGAAATCTGCAAACTTGTTTATTGACTTAAAACGAGCCTGAACTCCATTATATCGACCACTCATGTTGGCTGCGTTGTCGTATTACTGCCCTCTAATGTTTTGTAAAGAAAGACCACATTTATTTAAAAATAAAGATATTTGTTGAAACAAATATTCTGATGTGTGATTTTCAATAGGGATGAAAGTCAAAAACCTTTCGTATGGCAATCCTTGATAACAATATCTTACAACAATGGCTAGTTAGCCAATATGTGCTAAGTCGGGTGTAGAGTCTACAATATAGAAACTGAACATCATTATTATTTACTTGATCGATTATAGCTTTTAATTCGATTAGTTTTCTTAAGTTGGATTCAGGTCAATAAAACAGCGTTGGAGATGAAAAATTTTGTATTTGCCATTTTCATCTCCAAAGCTGTTTTATTGACCTGAATCCAACTTAAGAAAACTAATCGAATCATTACCGAGGTCACTAGCCAAAAACAAATAGCTTTTAATACTTGCTTTCCCATTATTGCAATAAGTTCTTCGTACGTAGTTTTGGACAAATAATATACGGTTCTTTTGGATGTTGACTGGCATTTTTTTAAATGTTCTTACAAAAAAGGGTCAAACTCTGAAATTAACTCAATAAGCCCCATTTTTCTTCATGTCCTCTCAATGCTAAACCTCTTTAGCACAAACATTTTAAAACTGCTACCACTCTTTGCAATACTTGGTAAAAGTGGGTAATTTCTTTTTTGATTTGCTCCTCTAGCTCTTTGTCAATAGTATGTCTATTTGTCTTTCTTGAAAATCATGTTAAAATCGACTGCTTGTGACCTTTACTTTCTTGGTGCATATCCAGTAACCGCAAAATATTTGACCAATCGTTAAGTCCGGTTTTAAGCTTTGATTCTACCTTTAAGAACAATTTACACGTAATACAATAAATCAATCCACTGCTTGGTGAGTTACATAGCCATTGCCTTTTTATCTGTTGTCCGTTTTTTAAAGTTTTTGAAAAACAACTATTAGAAAAATGTCTTTTATGCTTTTCGCATGTAATTTCAGATTTAGGATATCTATTATTATGGTCATAATTTTGAAAATATGGAAAATCTAGGCAGAATTTGATCACGTCGTTATTAATACAGTCAGGCCATAAAGCTAAGTCTTGATAGCAATCAAAAGTTTTATCCAATTCAGCAGATGATTCGTTGCAAAGTTCCAATATTTTTTCACTTTCGGTCACCTCCTTTGAAACACCAGATTGGCAGGTCTCTTCTTCGGAATCACTTTCGTTATCATTCTGAGAAGTTTGGGATTCGTTATTTTGTATCTGCGAACATCCCCTTTCGTTTCCATTATCATCAATACTGACAATACTGGTTGTTTGTGAAGTACTGGGTTGACAAGTTGTTTCTTCCGCAGGAATATTGGCTTTTGAAACAAAAAAATCTGTTAGTTTTGGATGCTAAACTTATTCTCGCTCTCTTTTTTCTTTTAATTTCCTGTTTTGGTAACTGGTCATGTAATGTCTGTCGGACATGGCTTGTATCTGTAAATACGTAATAACATACATTACAATAAATAAAAAACTAGTAGGTCATCGGTCATCTACATTTATTCATTACGAAACAGGAAAGTTACACTTTACAGTTTATAGGAACAAAATAAGCAAAATTCGAATCCAATCGGCCGCGAGACTTTAAGACAAAAAGACTTTGTTAAATGAAAAAAAAAAAAAGTCGGTATTTAGTTTTTTGAATTTTTTCTTTACAACTCACGTCATAACCGAGTCCGCTCCATAAAACGTTAAATGCCACCTTTTGTTTTCGTATGTTTTGAAAATTTGCTACGGCCGACGTCAACACGAAACAGTGACCACCCAACTAGCAAAACTAATTTTATAAAAACTGTAAGAACTGCTATACAGCATATCTAATAGAAACGTGAAAATCTTATAATGAGGCTATAAACTACTATACAATGTCTACACAACCAAAAAGGGCCCCAGTTTATACAACAGTTCACTTCTTTTAGGAGATTCTTTAGTAAACCACACAACCATTATAACATAATCAATGTGATAATTATAAAACTATTCCATAAATATGTCATCAGTATCACTTATACAATACATTTACAAAACTATTTCAGAACTGCTATAAAACTATCATATAGCAGTGCTTTTATTCTGCGGTTTAAGTCTATTCTACGAACATTTATAGAACTATTAATAAAATATTTTAAAAGGATTTTATAACGCAGAAAGCAACGCTGATACAATAATATAGTTTTCTACGGTTGAAATTCAGAATTGAATTATCGCAAGAATATTTTATTATGCAAACTTATGAAGTAAATCAAATATAGTTTGAGGTTTAAGACCAATCATGCAATATGGAGAATGGGAGTTATTGTATCGCAACCACGCCATATTGAAAATGCCTATTATAATAAATTATTAAACCTTGCTGCTGCACTTATGGGACAAAATTTGCTTGCGCAGCCAACTTTTCTGACAATATATATATATATATAATTTGGATATATATATATATATATATATATATATATATATATATATATATATATATATATTTTTTTTTTTTGACAAAAAATTGAAGCGCCACCAGTTAAGCTTACATTTCTTGAGATGATTGAAGAATTGAAAATTTAAAAATATTTTTTTAAGGCCGAATTCTCAACTTATACAGAAAATGTATTGTTCCTTTTGTAAAAGAGCAAAAAAATCGCCATATTTCGTAAAAACATATATTTGTTTTTGAAATGTTTGCGTTTGTGTATGAGTTCTTCACAATGGCGGCGGTTTCTAGGGGTGCAGTACTTCAGAGGGGTTGAATATCACTGCAGGAGTGCCCTAGGGATCTGTTCTATTTCTAACATTAATAAAAATACGAGTAAAAAGAACGAGTATCAAAACGCAAATGAACAATAAGCACTATTTTTTTGAAAAAAAATTCATGACACATTGAATGACACATAAAAAAAGGGTTTGTGTGCCTCTTGGCGGCCATTTTAATTCAAGTTTGACAGCATCTTGGATAGTTCAATAGGGAAATCGGTGAGGGAAATCGAAGAGGGAAGTGACACAGGTAAAGTGTCACTTTCAAATTTTTAAAAAGTCAGTAATGTCGAGGTTACATATATGGTTACAAATAATAGTATATTACATACCGAGTAGGGAAGTGTTTCATTACTGTCGAGAGATTTATATAGTCAATCGAGACGCGAAGCGTCGAGATTGACTATTAATCTCGAGACAGAAATGAAAACTTTCCTCCGAGGTTTGTATACTATTTTATTTGCAAGCACACCAATAATTATGATAAGTCATTCAATTTTTTTATTATTAAAAAAATAAAACAAACATGCCAAAATATGTCATTCACCTGTTGTGACATTTTTACCTGACATGTTCTCATTGTTGCCAGCAAAGGTGAATAAATTAGAGTGAGGGAAATCGGTGAGGGAAGTCGAATAGGGAAATCGGTGAGGGAAATCGAAGAGGGAAGTGACACAAGTAAAGTGTCACTTTCAAATTTTTAAAAAGTCAGTAATGTCGAGATTACATATATGGTTGCAAATAATAGTATATTACATACCGAGTATGGGAAGTGCGAGCGAGATTAATAGTCAATCTCGACGCTTCGCGTCTCGATTGACTATATAAATCTCTCGACAGTAATGAAAACTTTCCTCCGAGGTTTGTATACTATTTTATTTGCAAGCACACCATTAATTATGATAAGTAATTTAATTTTTTTAATATTAAAAAAATAAAACAAACATGCCAAAATGTGTCATTCACTGTTTTGACATTTTTACCTGACATGTTCTCATTGTTGCCAGCAAAGGTAAATAAATTTGAGTGAGTGAAATCGGTGAGGGAAGTCGAATAGGGAAATCGGTGAGGGAAATCGACGAGGGAAGTGACACAGGTAAAGTGTCACTTCCAAATTTTTAAAAAGTCAGTAATGTCAAGATTACACATATGGTTTCACATAAAATATAATGATAACGCTCAGTACCTATTTTATTTACAGCCACTCTGAATACTATAAATAATTAAATTTTATATGAAAATTTGAACCATCAAGGATATTTTCAATTATTCTGGATCACTGAAATCGCTAGAATCGCTAGAGTCTTCATCAACATTGATAATAAGTGGAAGAACCTCTTGCCTATCCATTACTTGTTCCCTGTTATACCACTTGTTAATTATTCCTTCTGTATGTCTGATAGAATTTTTCCACATTTCAGGGGTAACAGTTTCCAGTGCCTCTCGCCACATTTTTAAACAAGCATCTTGAGTATATCCATATGTGCCAATATGTCGGTTATAATAGTTTTTTGCAATTCCCCAGATAAGTTCAATCGGGTTAAAGGTACAGTGGTATGGAGGTAGTCGTAAAACTTTATGTCCATACTGTTCTGCTAAGTCATCTACCACATACTTTTTTGTTGGTTTATTCCTGAAAAAAGCAATACTTGAGAAGTTGAGCATAAAATGCAAACAATTTTGGTATTGTAGGTACTTACTTACCGTGCAACAATGGTCACAAGTTCAGATTTCAATGCTGTATTTGGATACTCAACTTTCTGTTCGGTCAACCAATTTTGAATTTCAGCCTTGGTAGACGAACTATTAGGTGTCTTCGTTAATAACATTATGTGGTAAGGAGCATTGTTTATAACAATGACAGATGGTTCACGGTTCACTCCTCAAGTTCTTCAACAGCTGATTTTCGAACCAACGTAAAAAGTTTTGCTGATTCATTTCTCTATGATAGTCGTGAAGTTGAGAATTCGATGAAAATACGAGCGATGCACCTTCAATAATAGCTATTTATACAATAAGTTACGAAATGAGCGTCTTTTAGGCACGCGACGTGAAAATTGTCCAACGAGGCAAAGCCGAGTTGGACAACACGTCGAGTGACTAAAAGACATCGTTTCGTAACGTATTGCATACAAGATTTTTTTTACTGGCCTTTTATAATAAAAAAACACAATTTTATTTCATGTGAATAAGCCGATCAAGCCCAAAATCTTTGTTACCTGCTTTTGCTTGACACCTGATGCGATTTTTTTTCAAGATTCGACATCAATAATTAAAATCCTGGAAAGTAGGTAACAACAAAAAGTTCTGTTTTGAGTAGCCCAAACGTTCAATTCAATAATTTAATTTTTAATATTCATAATAAATACAGATCAAAATTCAAATCTGTGTTTAGTGTGTTTTTTTATTTCTGAACAATGAATGACACTTTTAGGCACTAGTGCTTAAAAATCACTTTTACGCACCTAAAAGTCACTTTTACGCATTCAAAAGTCACTTTTACGCACTGAGTGCCTAAAAGTAACTTTCACGCACTCAGTGCTTAAAAGAATGTCGTTTTGAAACTAAAATGACAATCAAAAAGTTGTTATTATGAAACGTCAGTAGAAAACTACATTTTCAGTCCTAGCATGAAGTATGATATATCTAAAAAAAGCATTTCTTTGTACATATAATACAACTGCTCTCTGTATTCATGTTTATATGCACCTTTCACCATCAACTTTGGTAGTTTTAACTCTTCGCTTGTTGTTGTCTTGCCACGAGCGGTTAAAAGTACCATTTTGAAAAATTCAAGTCTTGTCCAAGAAAACAAACTGGTACAAAGCCTCCTGTTTCAGTCTTAGATAAGACCTCAACAATGATATGCGTTTAACAACAATATCAGGAAGTTCCATGAGCCCTCGTCTTGGGTCATATTTTTTCCATTTGAAGCCTATTTCTTTTAACATTCTACTCAATTATATGGGACTGCCATCAAATAATTGTTTGGCTTTCAATTGCTCCCATATACAGGATAATGTTACATGTTGTCCTACAAGAAGAAAGAATGCGATTCATAGATATCTATGTACCTTTGTCTCAAGCGATTTACTTTTTGTATACATATAACGTAACTAGTGTTACGTATAGCACTGCTATCGAGCTTTGAAACATCACAGACTCTCTTCAAAGTACATCGTTTCTCAGAAGGCGATTCCAAAACTTCGTTATTTTTGATTGCCTTTGAAATAGCACAGACAGTGGACATACCTTCTTAAGTTCAACGCCTTTGCTACGCACTAAAAATGAGAGAAAATAAAGTCCACATTGAAAATTTCTAGTTGGTCCTTGGTCCACGAAATAAACTCACCTTCCTAACAGCATTTAAGGGACATAAAGTGCCATAATTATCGCATCGCGTTCTCGTTCGAAATATTGTAACAAGGATGCGATTAGTTGTTTGCAACGGCTGTTAAGCTGCTTCGGCATCTTGTACACTTCGCACTACAAGCTGCTTTTGAAAAACAAGCTCACAAATAATAGCACAAACCAAAATCTCGTAAACTGCCAAAACGCAATCAAAATTCAAAATGTCAAGAATTTAATTTGGCAACGTTAAATTTTTTGAAGTGGTGTTACCAACTGAATGGCCAGCGGGAAATTCAAATTCCAATTAAGTCAATCCGACGCCGAATATTTTCACGGTTGGCGATAACGATTTTAAAAATGGCGTCATCGATGTCACAACAACAAGTTTATTTGGTATGAACTATAATATCAAATTTTACACTTGTGAGTATTTATGCATTTTTGCGAAGAACCCGATACAATTTATCAAAGTTTTTTGTTCATTTCACGCACTAGTGTGTGAAGTGAACTACTTTACGCACTAGTGCGTGAAGTATTATTATATGTCTTTTGAATAGTGCGTATAAAGTAAGTACTTAATGCTCGGTAGTAGAAATACAATTTTTGATACCTACATTTTCTTTTTTTTTACATAGTTTAAATATTACTAGCTAATTCGTCAGAAAAATTAAAGAATAATCTTTTTTAAGTTAAGGTTTTACCCAAAATTATTCGAAAACGACCGCAATTTTGATAAAATCGATCCACAATTAACAATTATATCCTCTTGGTAGCCGCCATTTTGCGAATGGGCGCTATCTTGCTCCTATGGGTCTGAATGGGTGTCATGCGGGTCAAATCGCTTATTACTGTAAAAAAATCATCTGTACCAAATTTCATGCTTTTATCACAATTTGCAAGATTCTGCCCATTTTTTTTTGATTGACCACCCCGACTCCCGACTAACCCCGCTTTGAGCCATGTTAAAATGTGTCAAATTTGCTGCTGAAATCTTTACTGCTGGTGTCTTAATAGGGTCTACTATCCGAGTGAACATTCCTTTGAAAGTTATAATTGATCCCATTATAGCTTTCGATCTCCCTGATGGGACTCATCAGTTATGCGAAAAAGCCTTAGAGCTGGTAATTTTAGCCTTAATATACAATATGATATTTGAGTAGTTCAAGAAATAATACTACAAAGGAAAGAAGTTTGCTCAAATTTCCAAAAGGCACGAAGTCTGTGACAGTGTCAGGATTTTCCGTAGTTTTCACAAAATCCTAGAATCTGAATATCTGTATTTGAGCTTTGATGATTTCTCTGTTTGAAGGGAAATACGTGCTTGACTTATAGTAAACAGATTCCAAAAATCAAAAATGACCATAAAGTGTGTGCAATTTATCATTGTCCCTAAAGAAAGCCGATCCAAACCACGCCCGCTCGCCGCAGACATCTATTTAGTGCTTTATTATGAGACTAAATGTTACAACAAATAATGGGGTGGCGTAACGTCGGAAGACAGGGTAACATTGCCTCCCTAGCAGCCAGTAAATTTAAATTATTACCCCATGGGAGAGATGCAACGGGAATCATGATTAATTTTTTAGTCTTGCTGATGAAATCGGAGCGGGGATTGCGGCCACTTAATTTTTAATGGCTAATAATTTAACAAGATACAAAATGATATTCAGAATACATAATGACTGGTGAGAATTTCTATGCTGACTGCTGTTCATAAATAGAATATTTGTTTTAAACTTCATTAATATTTCACAGATTGTTCCAAATATGGCCCACTGCACCTTTTAAATTCAAGGGTATAAAATATTTGGAACGCATAGACGTGACACAAAATTTGGATACAATTAAATTAATTCTAAGGAATATAACGGTTTCACGCTATAAAGCATACCGCGGGCTATTTAGGGTAGACTCTTAAATTACGCCGCTTTAAATTTGCCCCAGATTAGCCGCAATCACGCAACTTTAATTCCCCCTTTTCCCCCGATAATACACATTTTAATGGTGATTTATTGCTAAACTTGTTCTTGGTAGTTGTATTATGGAATTGCAATATGGAAATTGGAATAGATACTTTGGAAACCATATTTTATATATATTGTAAAAAGTTCTAATACTTTCAAATGTAAATTGTATCATATTTTTTTCCATGTTTTCGCCCACAGAGAGCTTTACTTAAGATTAGCCGCAACAAAAACGGCAAAACAGTATATTATTCCCCAGTCTCCTATATTCCCTAAGCATATTCGTTATTTTTCCACCCCTCGTCCATGGTTCTGTCATATTTATTGAAGACATCATTCCCTCCAGAGATCGGATTCTGTATGCTGCGTCAGTTAGACGCCGAATTATTATTTATGTAGTGTTGCTTCGCAATATCTGCTGAAACAGCTGAATTTGAGTGTCTGAGTATATGCAGTCTTTTATATCTTAGAAAAAATTGGCACATTTTTGCTATTCTTGCGTTTTTATGCTTTATCAAGTTTAGCTACTCTACTGAATAATGAAGTGTTTAATAAAAAATTTGCATTTTCAAAGAAAAATATTCTCGAATTGTTAATAAACTCCTCGAGGGCTTTTTTTGAAACGGAATAACATTTAAATATTTATTTTTTATTTGCAAGCAATTTTAGATCATTTGCGAACAGCTGGCAGTTGAAGTTACAATTTCTTTTTTGTTTCAACCTTTCACACACAATAGTCATTGAAAGAATCGCCACTCTCGATGTCAAAATTAGTACAACACAGGTCTCCTTTTGACCACAGTATTATTACCATGATACTCAAATGAATATCCAAATCGACAGCCATGAGTTTTGTTTTCTTTAGGAAGTATCTGTTTCTTCTGTAATTAACTTTCGGATTTTTTAACTGCTTATACCTACCGAAAGTCTACTAGCAACCATTTATCGGAATATTTTCCATATGGAATATTCCTAGTACTTGCACGTATTAATTGTAAAATCCACTGCATTCCGGTTTCCAATCTATTAGTGCTCGTCAGTGCAACTCAAGCGATCTTATCAAATCAGAAAACAAGAATGATAGGTACAACAGCCATAATGCCATAGGTGTGAGCTCAAATAGCAAGTGTTGGATATTATTCCTGAATCATCCAATCATCTTTATTCTCACACAATAGCCTTCTGCAGCTAGTTTTATCCATATGAGCTTTGGCACTTCCTCTTTCAAGTGATAACTTTCGTTCGGAGTTTTTTGTGTGGAGTGACCTATTTTGTTCGGAAGCTATCGACGTGATATAAATAGCAGCACAGGTAACACAAAACTACATGAAAAGTACTGTATTATCAAAAAATTAACAAAATCCGTAGAACCCAAAAATCCCATGTTAGCCGTTAGCGTGTTATTCTCTGAAATTCAAGAGTAACTACATCAGTGCCATTGTAACTAAATGGGTGGCAAACATTGTTCGGGAAAAGCAAAAAGACATTAGCTGCTTACGATCAAGCACTTTTCTTACCTAAGTTAAAGTTAGTTTCTTAGCTGAGCTAAGTTGTTTGATCGTACGCGCAATTCATATAGGCTGATCATCTGCCTATCAAGTTACGACTTACGTCACGTATTTCTAGTTCGGGTTCTAGTAACGACGAGAGTTTCAGGTTCAGTTTGTTGTTTTTATTAATTTATATTTAATTGAAATTGAAACCTAATTGTTTTTGTACTACAGCACATTTTATTGCACATTAAAAATGAACAATTATCTACCTATAAGTTCGAGTGTCCAGCAGTTTATTTCTGTAATTAATTTGATTTTTTCCGAAAATGAATTTATATATTCATATATCCATATACAAGAGAAAAAATTTTGTTGGCAAAATTTTCGACTGGTGTGAAAGTTTGTTGCTTGGCAATTTCATGAGCGAAATTACCAAAAAGCAACAAACTTGAATAAAACCAAGAGAACAATTTTGCCTGCATATTTTTTTCTTGAGTGGTTTTCGCCTGGACTATTTCACGAGAAAAGCAAGCCAAATTTTCATTTGAAAAATGTATTTTCTTTAGGTGACACTTGTCAAACTCAATAGTTTTTTACCTTAAGGCCGCGTTAATGGCCGCCATGTTTAAGCTGTGATTGGTTGATTTTTCAAAACTTGTTTTAAGGTCTTTAGAAAAACGGCATATCAGAATTGGCTGAAATTTGGCATAAAAATTATTTGATCGATTATCTACAATTCCTTATTTTAGTTTTTCGATATTCTGCCTTTTTTTTAAATTCAAAAATCATTTTCGCAACCACCAAAACAATTAAATGTGTTGGTGGTTGAATATTTACATGTTTATCAAGCTTGGATCCGTGAAAAGCATATTTTATTGATAACCACGAAGCTAATTGTAGAGATTGTAGATAATATATCAAATAATGTTTAGGCCAAAGGATTTTGGAAATGAATGCGGATTTTTTGAGATGACCTTAAAACGAATTTTGAAGGTGAAAATAGTTCAAGCAATTTCAGGTAGATGGCGCCACGGCAAAAAAGCTACATTGGGAGCATCATAATTGTATATTTGTCTTTCTCTGTCACTAAGTGTTTCACCGACAAAGAGATTTTGTTTTGGACAAATAATAAAATATTGAACCCTATGTGTAGAGTGACGCAGTCGTCATTTTCAAAAACTAAATTTAAACATGGCGGTCATTAACGCGGCCTTAACCACACAAAATTTTGTCGCTGAAAAACCATCATGTTGGTTTTGCCCAGGTAGGAACAGGTAGAAGTTTTGTCAGTAGGAAACCGGCCGTTCCTATGACATTTTGCCAGTGTAAAACACTCTAGTGAAATAGTCCTAAATAAATAGTAGGTATATTGTAAACCTAGGCGGACACTTCTTGAAGCCTGGAAAAATCACTTTACCGGCATGGTTTACACTTTATTTTTCTTCCAACACCATATAACTGTAGGCAACAGCATTGCCTATACCTACTCCAAAAAGCAAAAAAGAAAAGAAAAATAGATTATAACTACTTATTATATTTTTGTGAAAGATCTCATAAACACGCCAAAATCACGTTCTCACACTGTACTTTTTAACGTTTTTAAGACTTTACCAATCCATAAAGAGCTTATACTGAAGTTGGTATTTGCTTCTTGATTTTTCTGGCAGCAAATTCATCGAAACTTTGTTTGCTTTGTCGTGAATTACAGGTGGGTTACAAGATTCCATTTATTATGGATTTAATTGATTTAAATATTCAAAGTATCCAAAATTCAAATCTAATTCAAATTTTACTTTTATAGGGCGATTTTTGACAATGGGGTTGTTCACCATAGTTAAAATCAGGTATTTTTTTCTATTGCAACGTTAGATAAGAACGAATTATTAATTATAAGCACAGTAAATTACAAAAAATATTCATAGGGTAATCAAAATTTCGTTTTAAAAGTCCACTTATTTCAAGCACATTTTAAAAATGAATTATGTTGGCCCTATGATGACGTGCAAACACTTACCGACCAATAGGATGTAAGCAAAGCGGCAATGCCAAATCCTCTTCTAAATTTTATATTGATATTGTCTAGTTAACCATTATTTTATCCGATCACAATAATATGCATGAGAATTCTTTGACAATTTGAAACCTAAAATATATTCTAACTAAAAATGTGACACTTCCAGCTACTGTTTACGAATTTTTTTATTTTTATCAAAGTTTTTACAAACTAAAAACAATCCCCAGAGAATCAAGACGAAATGTGGCAACCCTGCTTGTGATCCTGTGACATGACCGACATGACAGATGTGTTATCCTAACCTAGTTTTGCTGGTTTATTTGTGTTGAATGTGATTTGTTTATTTATCTTTCTTTAAATAAAAACTATCGTTTTAAACAGTATTTCAAACAAATTTTCTGAACAACAATTTCAAAAATATGTCGGCGCTGGAGAGCGGATTCGTTAAAGCGGCTTCTGATAATCTACCAAACGTGGACATTGAAATGGTAAATAACTTTTTTGTGAACAATTTACAGTTTCTAAGTTCAGAAGTTCGCAATATTAAAACAAAAAGGTGTGTATAGTGTTTGTATACATAAAAACTTTTCAATAGAAACTGACAAGATTTTTAATTATTACAAAAGGCATACTTTTTTTCATCCCCAGGTCTGCCTCAGAAAAATATGGAGACAACGCAATAACATATGTCCAGCTAAAAAGAGCAGATAACATATGTACAGTGAAGGCCAAAATTACTCCAGAACATAGGGTTAGGCATGTAGCCTACAAACTGCAAGCAGTGATCAATGAGGAAGACGAAGAAGTGCTAAGTTGTGAGTGCTTGGATTGCCCAGCCTCCGCAGGTAACTATATTAATATCATTTAATTATGCATAAATTAATGAATATTTTTGTTTTAGGAGGTTGCAAACATGGAGTGGCCTTTTTGTTGTGGCTTCACAGAAGGAGCGAAGAACCTTCAGTTACTTCAGTTGAATGCTACTGGAAAAAGTCCAAGTTGGCCAAGGGTGTCGAAGTAAACCAGAGCATTGCTAACTTAACAAAAAAAAAAACACCTATCTTACCGAATACTATTGACCCTGATTTCCTGAAGCAAGTTGTCGAAGCTTGTTCCCAATCAGAGGGTACCTACATTGTTTAATTTTTTTTAAAAAGTCAAACTAGAATTTAGTTCATTGTATCAAATTATGCAAAGTTTTGAAGAAAGTAGCTTTGAAAAAATGCAGATTCTTTTATTGCTTATGCAAAAACTGTCATGACTGAAGAAGCATGCAGAGCAGCAGAAAAAAATAGCCGTGAGCTTGAACTACGATATGGGAGAATTACAGCTTCCGTGTTGTACGAGGCATCACGATGTAGTACATTATCTGGGGCGCTACATGAGAAAATATTAGGAGGTACCCCTGCTCTGAACACTTTTGCAGTTACCAGAGGCAAGAATCTTGAGTCCCAAGTAATTGAGGTAGTCTCAAAACACAAACAAATCAAAGTACACAAGGCAGGACTGTACTTATTGAGAGAGTATCCAATTTTCGGAGCTTCCCCAGATGGAATATCAGAAAAATATGTTATAGAAGTCAAATGTCCATCAAAAGAAAAAAGTGTGGAAAACTATATATCCGATGGCAAGATAAAAGATAAATTTTTATGTCAGATTCAACTTCAAATGTTATTTGCTCATAAAAAATAGGTCTTTTTTGTGTAGCGTCGCCAAATTTTGAGTGTAATAGAGAAGTTCAAATAGTTGAAATAAAATATGATGAGGCTTTCATCTTAGAAGCAATGAAAAATGCAGAACTCTTTTGGAAAAAAATCACTTTTTCCTGTTTTATTTGACTAGGCAATGTGTTTGTTTATATACTTATATCAATCTTTATTCTATTCTCAAGCTTTGGCCATGAAAATGGTTCAAGTCATAGTAAATATATTTTGTTTCTTTCTCAATGAATTGTTTTTTTGAGGAGTTATTTGCACAATAGTATATTGTGTATTTAGGTGGAAAAGTGACACGTTCTCGGCCGACGGTGTAAGTTGACGGGCGAGGCGTAGCCGAGGCCGGCAAACACCGAAGGCCGAGAATGTGCTTTTCCACCGAAATACACATACTATTTTTTCTGCGATCGGTTAAATACCTGTTAAATGTTTGTCTTTTAGTTCCAATTATTCAGCAGTACGAGAATCACTTTCCCGGCCTAGGCCGGAAAAGTGTTTCCCGTATTGTTATTCATTTATTGATTCCTTAGCAGCTATTGAAACATAATTGAAATACCAGAATATTGAGTTTTGCGACCTGTCAACCGGTCAAAAATGCTGACATTTCTTGTCAATCGCAGAAAAAGGTATATTTAGTCATGTATTAAAAAAAAAACATAGACTCTGGTTTCATTTGAAATTTATTTTTACCTGAATCTAAAAGAAAATAAGTTTTGATGGGTATAAAATCAAAGAAAACCAATCCTATAGATAAGAAAAAAATATTTTCGAAATATCAGGCGTAATAGTTATTTATGTATCAATGGTACTTAGTAGATGATTATGCCCTGAGGGCGACAGTCTTACAAAGCCGAGGGCCTCTGGCCCGAGGATTCGTAAGTCGCCCGAGGGTATATATATCTATTAGTACCCGTGGTGCATACAAACTTTTATGTCATACCAGTTGGTTGTGAATAATAAATACCTGGGAAAAAAAGTGTCACTTCTCAAATTGTCATCACTGTGCAAACATCATCATTTTTTGACAAAAATAATATGTTTATAAGCGTAAAATTATATTTTTTTAATAAATAATAAGTTAATTGAAAACTGTTTTTGCGTCTTGATGCCCGCGCGGGCCATAATGTGTACTTTATGCCCGCACGGGCATAAAGTAATGAATTATGTAGATGGTATCTAAGGTATAAAAACACAATAATGTATTGGTATGACATAAAAATACATATTGGGAGTCAAAGCATAAAACTAAGCCAAAATTTTATATAACTAGGTCACGAGCGCGCTTCGCGCTCTTTTTTTTAAATCAAGTCCATCAAAATAATTATAAAATGGAAAATATTTATTAGGTGTTGTACAAAAAACAGCATAATTTGTGTTTTAAATGTACACTATACATTAAATGTACCAGTGAGATAAGTTGTATAGATGTTATTTTAGTGAAGAAATTTCAAATGCGATGGATGGAGTTGGTGACGAATTATTTTTGTATGGTATATCATAATGATTTTAAATCGATCACATTTCTTGAATGTACGGTGTGCGTATGTCTACTTATCCCATTCTGTTTTATGGAACTCGTAGGTATACATTTTTCGAAGTGGATTAATTAAAACAGAATAATCATAACCGATCAAGGTGTTATTATAAACCGAGTTATTAACTATTTGTGTGCTGTGGTATAATACGAGATATCGAGTCTTAATTTTTTTTTACATTTTCATGAAGTTACATACATACCTAGATTCTTCTATTGGACCTCGAAAAAATATTAAACCACTTCCTTGCTTTGAATCTTTGAAAAACAACCATCTACAGAGCAATATCTAATAGCACAGCTAATAGACATATTGTCAGAGAATTGTCACATAAATAAAAAATTCACAGTCCTTCGCAAAAATGCAACCGAGGAGAACATTGAAAATGCCGAAGCAAACTTCAACGCTAATGCTTGTGATTATTGTGAGCTTTGAGATCCGCTAAAATTCAACCCTTTCCAGATTTTCCAGAATTTTTCCGACCCAATCCAGAAATTTCCATGCGTTTTCCAGACGTTTCCAGAAATTTCCAGACTTTATCCAGATTTTTCCAGACTTGGCTAGACTTTATTCAGACTTGTTTAAATTTCTCCAGACCTTATCAACCTTTTTCCAGACGTTTCCAGAAATTTCCAGACTTTCCCAGACTTTATCCAGACTTTTATAGACTTGGCTGGATTTTTCCAAACTTTATCCAGACTTGTCTAGATTTCTCCAGACCTAATAGAGCCTTTTCCAGACGTTTCCAGAAATTTTCTGGCTTTTCCAGACTGTATCCAAACGTATCCAGACTTTTCCAGATTAAGCTAGACTTTATCCAGACTTGTCTAGATTTCTCCAGACCTTATCCAGCCCTTTCCTGACCTCTCCGACTTCTTCCAAACAATTTCCCGACTTCAAATACACTTTTCCTTACTTTATCCAGACTTGTCTGAATTTCTCCAGACCTTATCAAGCCTTTTCCAGACGTTACCAGAAATTTCCAGGCTTTTCCAGACTTTATCCAGACTTTTCTAGACTTGGTTGGATTTTTCCAGACTTTATTCAGACTTGTCTAGATTTCTCCAGACCTAATAGAGTCTTTTCCAGACGTTTCCAGAAATTTTCTGGCTCTTTTCCAGACTTTATCCAAACTTATCCAGACTTTTCCAGACTTAGCTAGACTTTATCCAGACTAATCCTGACTTTATCCAGACTTGTCTGAATTTCTCCAGACCTTATTAAGCCTTTTCCAGACGTTTCCAGAAATTTCCAGGCTTTTCCAGACTTTATCCAGACTTTTCTAGACTTGGCTAGATTTTTCCAGACTTTATCCAGACTTTTCTAGATTTCTCCAGACCTAATAGAGCCTTTTCCAGACGTTTCCAGAAATTTTCTCGCTCTTTTCCAGACTTTATCCAGACTTTTCCAGACTTTTCCAGACTTAGCTAGACTTTATCCAGACTTATCCAGACTTTATCCAGACTTGTCTAGATTTCTCCAGACCTTATCTAGCCCTTTGACCTCTCCGGACTTCTTCCAAACACTTTCCCGACTTCAAATACACTTTTCCAGACCTTACGCAGACTTGTCTGAATTTCTCCAGACCTTATCCAGCCTTTTCCCGACGTTTCCAGAAATTTCCAGGCTTTTCCAGACTTTATCCTGACTTTTCCAGACTTTGGTAGATTTTTCCAGACTTTATCCAGACTTGTCTGGATTTCACCAGACCTAATAGAGCCTTTCCAGACGTTTCCAGAAATTTTCTGGCTTTTCCAGACTTTATCCAAACTTATCCAAACTTTTCCAGACTTAGCTAGACTTTATCCAGCCTTATCCAGACTTTATCCAGACTTGTCTAGATTTCTCCAGACCTTATCCAGCCCTTTGCTGACCTCTCCGGACTTCTTCCAAACACCCGACTTCAATTTTGTATAAGTAATTGCCCATTTATGAGTCGGCATTTAATGTATGCAAAAACGGTAACATCCTTGAACCAACATAAACATATCGATTTTATATTCGGATTGCCTCATTTGCATAATTAAAGCGGTGACAGCCTTGAACTAACATCTCGATTTTATATTCAGATAAAAAAAACTGAACTTGTGATTTTATTTAATTAAGGGATTTTGTAGGTTTACTAGAGCACATATTATGATTAAAATATGATGAGTTAAATACAGTAATGAATGATGTACAGGGTATTTGATTATATTTGGCACCATACCTACAGCCTTTACTATTTAAGATAGAAAAAAAATTTAAATACAAAACTTGACAGTTTTTTTCTATATTTTCTTTTGATAGTATCAGAAAAAACAAAATCGCATCGGAAAATGGAGAAACGTAGGCAACTTCAACTTTTTCAATGGAACACCCTGTATATTATGCGATAAAATTAAAGATCTCTTCTTCCTGATTCCAAATATATATATATTGAGCACATTTGAGTGAGCCGTTTTTGAAATATTTTAGCTTAAATTTGCAAAGAAATTTCATAAGGATGTTAAGACATATAATTCTTCATAAAATTCCTTTGGATTTTATTCAAAATTTAAGCTAAAATATTTCAAAAACGGCTCAATCAAATGTGCTCAATATATATATATATTTGGAATCAGGAAGAAAAGATCTTTAATTTTATCGCATAATATACAGGGTGTTCCATTGAAAAAGTTGAAGTTGCCTACGTTTCTCCATTTTCCGATGCGATTTTGTTTTTTCTGATACTATCAAAAGAAAATATAGAAAAAAACTGTCAAGTTTTGTATTTAAATTTTTTTTCTATCTTAAATAGTAAAGGCTGTAGGTATGGTGCCAAATATAATCAAATACCCTGTACACATGCATGAGGTTTTGCAAAATTATATTCTCTTATCCTTCGAATAACTCTTTCAATATGAATTCGAAG